GTGTTGTTATAAAGCTGTAGATATTAAAACGAATGATCTCTTAGGTACTTCCAAAATTAGAGTGGTTCAAGCCGAACATGGATGATTCTTTCAAATTACATGAAAGAAGAGCTTATGTAGATGAAGTCTTAAGAGAAAGGTCCGGTTCATGGATTTGGGGGCTTCCTCATAATATTGGTAATTGTTTTACTACCAAAGCATAATTGTAAACTATTTATATTGGGGTTAAAGGTCCATAATGTCCTTCCACTATTTTATCTATCTTAATCTTGTTCCTCTACTAATTTTTTTCAATAATCCAGTCCCTCTACTCTTAATTTACTTTTTAATTTTGTCCATTAGGCCAACTTTTTTGATAATTGTATCAATTTTCGACAACTCATAAGATGTTGACACGTGGTATTTTTTTTCAAAACTTTTTTCTAAAAATTAACAAACCCTTACAAAATTTGAAAAAAATAAAAAAAAATTCCAAAATGCCCCTCTTTTTCTCTACCTTTAGGTATAAAAATAAATAATTAACTTCATCCATCGATTTTTTTTTTTACTTTCTCTCAAATTTTGAAAAAGAAATCCTAAAATGTCTTTCTTTTTCTCTACTTTTTGCTTTTATTCTTCCGTTATGAACAAAATTTAATAATTTTTTTTTTTGGGTTTGGATTTGAAATAAATTTTCATAATAAATTTTTTAAATAAATAAATAAAATTTTGCTTGTGTTCTTTTCTATACATAAAAATAATTACAAAATCATAAAATGTTCTTTTTTTATCTCGCCTTTTGCTTTTATTCTTATGTTATGAAAAAATTTCATAATTTTTTTTGTTTGGATTTGAAATAAATTTTCATTATAAAGTTATGAAATAAATAAATAAATAATTCTTTTATTCTTTCCTATACTTTTTTTTGTTTTTTTGAATTTGAGGGAAATAAAAAAAGGATTGAATTAATTATTTATTTCTATACATAAAGGTAGAGAAAAAGATGGGCATTTTGGAATTTATTTTTTTCAATTTTTTTAGAATCTTTTTTTAAAAAAATACCACGAGTCCGTTGTTGAAAATTGATACAATTATCAAAAAATTTAGGCTGGAGGGACGAAATTAAGATGCAAATTAAGAACGAGAGGGACTCGATTATTAAAAAACTTAATAGAGGAACACGATTAAGACAAATAAAACGAGTAGATGGACATGCTTGGACCTTTAACCCATTTATATTGGCTTACATATTGCTTAAGATATAGGTTTTAGGAAGATAAAGTTAAGATCTAACTCTAAAGATATTATTCAAGTAATTTAGAACCAATTAAGTGTTGATGTCGGCAATGCTCAACTAGTCGGTGCAATCCGTTTACTACTACAATTACCTTGATAAGTACAAACTATTCATGTGCATAGAAAGACTAATCGATATGCGATTTGTTAGCAAATCATGCTCTCTTTTTGACTTTTGGCTGTCATTCTTTTCTAACTATTCCTTCGGTTATTTTCATATTGTTTTAGAGGATACATAGGAGATCAACTTATTATTACGTCTAGTTTTCTTTAGAATTTTTTTGTAAAAAATGACATAATGTAACTATTTTCAACTAGTTATTCAATATTGGATCTTATATTCTTTTCTCTCACGTAAATATGAGACTCACAATATAGAAGAATATGTTATGTTGTTTGGTAGATAAGCAATACACCAATTGTAATGGTCATCAAAAAATAAAGCATATAGATTTACATAAGAAAATCTCAAGTCAATCCTCTAATATAGTGAATCATAATTAAATGTATGTTTTTTATAATCTTTAAATATTTAGAAATTTTAACTAAATTCTTTCACCTAAAATAATCATAAACTTTTCATGTAATTGCCAAACTTGAAGATTTATTGTATTGCATATGACATGCCCTTTTTGACTTTAAATGGAATTCGTTAAGGAATATAGATTGGGATTTTCAATCAAAATTTCTTTAACTTTTGATGATTCAAAAAAGAATAACTTTTTAAGTATTTAACATATATTTCAGTAATAATTTAATCTTAAATGAGGTTTGTCCATGATAGTAATGAGTCCCGGATGACTCATCTATGATGTAGATTGCTTGTGCTAAACGGGAACAAGTTTCTTGGACCAAATATTATGATATGTTTATTTATATTTGATATTTGCTGAACAATTTTTTGAATTGGTTGAGAAACTCTCCAACGATCAAATTAGTAGTTTGAAGGTGACGAATCTACCTGAATATGCTCTTTTGTAAAAATAATACATGTGGCGTAAGGAGAAAATAATTAATAAGGATTTTCAGATGTAAAAGGTTTTTAGAAGCTGGGAATCAAAAACCCTTGATTGTTAAGATTCTTATAAGGCAGAACTTGTGTAGATAGCATGGTGGGTATGATAGGATTGCCTTTCCCCCTTAACATTGTGGCCAGGAGGACAATTGATGATGGCCTGCGCATGATGCAATCTGATCTTTGACAGCGTTGTTGTTATCGTGATGATTTGATTGGAATTATCATGCAAGAGTATCTTCTTTGAATACTTTGTTTTCTTTGGCCATCATTGAGGAAAATGAAATCTTTTTTGTTTACTTAGGGATGGTCCGGGATGTGAGAGTATCAAAATTTTTCTCGGAGAATGGCCAATCCGTAGGAGGGTAGCTGGCTGTGGGGGACTCTAGGCCTAGTAATTTTGACAATGCGTATATTTTTAGCTGGTTTCTGAGAATTTTAAACCTGAATTGGGCCTGATAATTTTGACGATGAGTATGTATATATATATATATATATATATTTTTTTTTTTTTTTTTTTTTTTGAGAAATAAAGATGACACGTGTCACCCGAGCGCATTACATAGTATTTAGCGAACTCTTGTATGTAGCTTATTCTGTGCATTGCTATGAAGGCAGTATATTGTACATCCTCACTGAGTGCATGAATTGGGATTATATTTTCGTTTTGATATTTCCTTTGTTGCTTCCACGGTTTGATGGTGTCAGAATTTTATTGCCTGCATTTTTTACCAAATGGCTTGTGTTTTTATGGTGCCTTTACAAAATAAAAGAGGTCGAAACTCGAATTTTATCGTAAAATGAACGAGTAAAAGAATCCTAGATACAAATACATTGCTTACCTAAAAGAAGAGTTTTAGTTTGCATTTTTCTTTCCTTTGAATTCTCAAATATCTTAATTAAAATATACCGAAAATGCTACTTAGCAAGAACTCTTTTAACTGTTTCTTTTTTTTTTAGGAGGACTGAAAGCGCTGAAAGGAGTTCCAAGATGCACATTCTGGGGTAGCTGCCCCACAAATTCTATCTTGACTTCTTCAAGCGGCTTCATGAGTGTTTTGCGTTAAAAAGCTTAGGTAATATCGTTTGCTAAAAACATCATTGAATTGGACGTTTGAAAGATCCAATTCAACACCTGCGACAAAATCTCATATTTCAATAATTAACAGAACTTATTGAACTAGATGTTCCAACGTTTTGACATCTGTTACAGAATTATATGTAAAAAAATAAAATTCAGAAGCCATTCTAAGGTTTTTTGTCATCTTATCGAGGAAAATTAATATTTCAAGGCCTATGAATTTGTCGAAAAACGCACGAGGGAGTGCCTTTTTGCACATCAAACTAGAGCTTATTCGAAATAAGCAACACCCAGTTCCAGGAATACGCATGGTTAGCAGCAACTTAGCGAATTCATCCATTTGCTTCCCGAAAGACATGACAGGTTCGCACATGTGACGACCCACCAAGGAACAGCTGAACGGACCTGATTAATTGAGCATTTTGATTCGTCTTTTTATAGTAACAACAGTGTTATTTGTCTTAAATGTTGAGGCAGCTTTCTAACAAGATCCCATTTCTAAATTGAAAGAGTAGCTTGTGGAGACAAGTTAGGCATCTCCCCATAATTTCAGATCGCATACCACACTCTCTATCTCTGCCCTTTGCTTCCACGACAATTATAGCATCCCCTTTCCAAATCATCAATAATGAAATTAATACAAGGCATATTACCACATTCATGGCTACACTATTAAGGACAATAATGCCTCTAAATTCATCAGCTAAGTTTTTGGGATTTGCCCATCAATGATAAAGCAAATATGGACCCACATTGCTTCAAAGAATAATGGCATGTGAGGATATTGCCCCATTGGCGAAAAACATTCAGCCCCATCATTATAAAGGCTGATCTAGGAAGATATGGCAAGGCAGTGTGGCACCCCTTGCCTTGATATTTATGGCATTCCTAAGCTCTAACGTGGTGGAGTCTCACCTCTCCTAATGGTGGCTGTACGATACTACGGTGCACAGTGAGCAGGCTGTGGATACCATTAAAAATTTAAAATAGTACCACAATAAAATCTCCCATGTGCATTCATAACCAAGCACCTTCAGGCTTCGAGGAAGGATAAGCTAAATGGGGACACAAAACTGCTTTGACCAGACTGCCCACAGCTTTACCGTTGATATCAATAAAATATCTTTGGGCAAATCAGTCAATATACGATAAAGACGCAAGCTTTCTGCCACAGTGCCACTGCAACTGGGCTCTGCTCTTTTAACTTTCCCAACCCGGCACCCTTCTCTCCCCCACTAGAAACAAAACCTTGAAAACGAAGTTTAAAACATGGCCAAATGCCTATACCCGAGAATCAAGATATTAGAGCCAAATTGCCATTTATTTAATCATTCTTCTTTGTTTATTTTACGCTATTTTATGCTATTTATTCATTATCATTATTATTATTAAATGAAGTCAATGGGATTTGAGCAGCAACACCATTCACATCATAATGTGGTACTTAAATGCATGAAATTAAGAAATAAATAGACCATATTGTTGATAAATAGGTCAACAAACATAAATATTAATTAATTAAGCAAGTGCATTTCAATTGGAGATCTACACACAATAAAAATCCTAAACTTCCAACAAAACCCTTCAAAAGCAAAAAATTAAAAACCAGCTCAGAAAACAAAACCAAATTTACTTTCCACTCCCTCTAGTGATCATGTCTTTGTACCTCAAAATAGAATCCATCCTCTGCAACTTCAACTGCTGCTTAAACCTGTTGATGAAATCATCAGCTTTAGCATCCACTTCAGTATCATCAGCCTCAGTACTGGTGTTCCCTTCTCTCACAGTAGCTGGCCTACGAGATTCAACAATGTCACCTACCTCAAAATGAGCAAAAGCAGATTTTGCACTTGCAGATTTCTTCATTTTCTTTGGTAGCTTTTTGGGTACTTCACCAGAAGTTGGTACCGTGTCTGACTTGGATTTGCCAAGTTTATTTCCTTGTAACTTGCTGTATACTTCTTCAAACGTCTGCTCTTGATCTTGGATTTGCTCATTTTCTTCTTTTAGAAATTCATCTTCCTCTTCCTCATCTTGTTCCTGGAGCTGCTCGTCAAGTTCTTGTCTTTGGTCATAAATTTGCTGAGAATTGAAATGGGTTGCAGTAGTTTCTTGATTTTTGAGGTTATTAGGAACGGTGGGATTAATGGCTTCTTGAGAGAAGTAATTATAGAGGTTGATGGACTTGATTCTTTGCAACATTGAAGGAGATCTAAAGATAGTTGGCTGGTTCTCATTTTGGCGGTGTTGATAATCTTGCTGAGGGGTTTGTTGATGAAGAGTGAAATGTTGGTCAAATTCTTGAGGTTTTTCAAAAGTTAAGGTTGTAGGTTCTTGGGATCTATAATTATAAAAGTTGATAGATTTGAGTCTTTGAAGAACAGAAGGAGATCTAGCAAGCTGGTGACCATGACCATACTGTGCTTGCGCATGTTTCTCTTGTTCTTGATGTTGGTCACTAGGTTTGTGGGTTGCTAGTCTTGAAGTTACAAAAATGGTGCCAATCATGAGATTGAGAAGGAGAAAGAGTACAGTTGGGGTTAACCAATTATTCATTGAAGCCCAGACGGATATGGATTCTTCAAGCATGGTTTTGGGTAGGGAGTGAAGAAATTGTAGAGAGAAATGGAGATGGGGCTTGTTGAGTGTAGAAGATAATGGAGGAGAGCCAGTAATATTTGAGGACAAATTTAATGGACGCACACGCCAGTATTTTCTTCTCTTATTTTGGAGGCTTGAAAAAATATTTTTATTTTTTTATGGGTTTTTGTTTTAGTTTTTTTATTTGTAGAATCTCGAGAGGCACGTGTCAAGATATGGGAGCCTCTGAGAAGTGAACAAAAGAAAAGAGTAGAGGGAGGTGGATGACTGGTAGATGTAAGTATAAATGTAGGGTTGTAGTTGTCTTCCATAAAAGAGCAAGTGATGGGGACAGGTAAAGACTAAAGTCCTACTACAGCTGGATTTATATAGCTTATTTTTTGGGGTAAATTCCGCACTCACTTGAACCATGTTCACTCACATAGTATAGACTTCATCACCTACTTAATTTCAAATCAAATTACAAAACAAAGTTTCTACCGAAACTTATAGGGAAAAAAAATCCTCCTTTGATGTGATGAGAAAAGATACAGAATCTTAGGGGGAAAAAAAAACATAATTATCTTACTTGTTTTTAAGCAACAATAAGTGGAGTCACTGCTGACTTCAATTCATGGAAGCAAGCTGCCATTTTTACATGATGAAAAGGCACAAAGCTACGTTAGTGCCGTCGACTTCAGTCCAAATTGCTTCTTTAGCTCGTTTGCTAATCAAGAGTTTGTGAGTGAAACTCACACCACACCAACTACTTACGGCCTTTGCTGCTCCTACTTGTTGATTGCCAAGACCTAAATTACGTTTAACTTTTTCTAGACCAATCAAATCATGCTTACCTTTAGCCTTACTCTCTTATCCAATAATTACATGAAAGGAAAATAAAAACGATAGACAATAATAAGCTACAAAATAGGCGTTGAAGTTAAAATCATTTCAACATGTGAAAATTACTTGAAAATACTTTTATTATTAAAACTTTAAAAAAAAAAAAAAAACAGAAAAAGAAGAAGAAGAAAGAAAATTGCCTGTGGCAGGCCCATGACATACCACCATGACCGCCACACCCTTACGTAATTCCACCAGCAAATAAACAAGGCACAATAATTATTAGGGCCTACGTAAGGGCATAATGTAAATAAGACGCAATTGCTGAAGTAGTTTGGACACCTTTTTTTGTCATGTATATTACTAGATTATGTGCGAAGAGACGAGTGAAATGCGGGGAACAAAAGAGCCCTCACTCTCCAATCAAAACTAAATAACGTGAGTTTGTCCAAGGTGTTGTGGAGTTCTTTTCTCAGATTCGTTAACAGGTTCATGTTGTTGCATAATGGACCTCCAACTTTTATATTTTATAAATTTGGTAATGATTCTACATCAATAAAAGGGTGTGTGCTTAAGTCATCTACTCAAAAAATTTTGTACTTCTCGATCAAGTTAGACAATTGTTAGTTTTGATAGAGCGAGACAAGAGAGTTGAGCTCATTTCCAATTCTGAAAATGGTGTCAAACATCTTGTTGTTCTCTAAGCCAATTGAAGCAACCTAAACGCAATTTTCTTTGAAATCTAATATTTTATCAATTAGATAATGTTAACAGGATTGATTTGATAGTCAAGAATGTAAGTTTTATTATTACTATTATTATTATTGGATTTAAATTTTGAAATCAATTATCTCAATGCTCAAGATTGATACGGGAAGCACGTTTTTAAAATCTGTTGAAAAAAATAAAAAAAACTTAATTTCCATTGATATGTAAACTAGTTGGAAGATATCCAGTAGGGACGGGGGAAAAAAATCTACAAATTATGCTGTCATAAATCATTATCTCTAACTTAGGCCCATTCAAAGAAACCTTAATGGGAAGTTGGCATGGGACTCAATAGCCAGTCCAACATTGAACAGGCCTAATTTAAGTTTTAGTACGAATAGGGTGCCCAAGGGCTGTCAATATAGATGGGCTCTCACAGAAAAAGGCTATCATTAATCACGTTACAGAATCATATCCACACATAGGAAATTCGTATATGCATTGGGCTTTGTAAATAAAATATTTCAGGTACATGGGCTTATTTTCGAGTTCATGTTTTGGGCCATTTCGTACATTGTCTAATTTTCTCTTTGACCATGCATTTGGTCTATGTGTTGTTTAATTGGGCTTAGATTCATTAAAATATCAAGTCCGTACCTAACTATAATTTATATTCGTTGACAATTGATGTGATAGCTAACCTGCCAGTTGTGTGGCTCAACTTGTAAAACGGGTTTGGGATTAAATACGCAAATTGCAGGTAGAGTACTTGACTTGGACAAGATAGCTACACTCACCGATGAAAATATAGATAAGTGGAGGAGTTTTGGTATTATTCCATAATAATGTGTGGGACCATTTCATCGGTGCGAGGAGAATGGGTAGATTTCGTGTATTTATTTCCTTGACAAAGATCAACATGGTTGGTGTGATCGTTGTAGAAGAAAAAATAAAGAGCCGTGAAAGGAGGAGTTCCATCATAATGAGCACATCATGGAGAAATTGTTATGCCTCCCCACTAGTAGGTGCATTCCAAAACCAGAACAACCATGATGGAAGAACACTACTTTTATTTTTTCTTTTCGCTTCTATCAAGTCAATTGGTTGGTCCAACATAATAGAATTCATAAGAGTTGTCGTACTCCAATTTTTATCTATTTTTTATTTTTGTAGTTTATTTTATTGTTGTTTGGTTTTATTTTATTTTTAATTCATACTTAACGGAAGTAAAATTTTAATTAAGAAAAATAGACAAAAAAGAAAAAAAAGAATTTTTATTGATTATTTGTAATCTTTACATAAAAAAATAAAATAAAATAAAAACAAACAAAGGGAGGGACAGTTCCCCTCCATCTCATGTACAGATTTTCAGCTTTCCTTAGGAACCAATTCCAAATTTTAGTTTGGAAAACTCTAGTCTCAACAACCTTGTTTCTCTAGGAACCAATTTGGTTCCTAATTTCATCCATGAATCTCAACTTGCATCATCCTTTTGGCTCCAGCAATCGGCCACTCCAATAGCCCCCACTGCTGCAATTTGCAACCCATAACCTCTCTCCATGTTCAATAATCTCGGCATCTCGGGTCAACAATTTCTACAGCCTATAAACTCAACCTTGCATAGCTCCAACTTATCTTGCAATTGTCACCCACCTACGACCACCCCTACTGCTGTAATTTCTACGACACCACCCTACATCCTCCTCTACTTTCGGTAGTCTCATCACTGTCACAACTCACAACCAATTCCCATCCAACCTTCCCACTTAACAATCCTAGAAAATAAAAAATCTCACACCATCATAGTGGAGAACCAAACATTCATGCATATAAATAATTCACAAACAAAAGAAAGGGAAGGAAGTAAGTCCAAAATTAAGAGAGCTCGAAATTGAAACAAAAGAACACAAAAAAAAAAGGAAAGTTAGTACCAAAAAAAGAAAAAATGCGAAAAAAAAAAAGAGACGAAATTCTATCTTAATTGATGCTGCAAATCCACCACCTCACCAATTCTTTGAGGTAATTTCTTTTAGTTTCCCCTTTAATTTTTTTTTTTTTAGAATATATATGTGTGTTTGAAATTTTAGGGTTCTTTTATTTCGGGTTGAAATTAGAGTTGGGAAACATTAATTAACCTCAATTTAATTCAATTGAAGCTGATTGGGTTTCAATTAAAATTTAGAATTCTTGATAATTTTTGAACAAATGGATTTGGGGGTTTTCAAAATTGAGCCCTAAAGGGTTTAAATTGACTTGATTTCACTTGAAATCAAGTCAATTAGGTCTAATTGAAAGAAAATTTTGAAGAAAAATCAAAACTTAGGTTCGGCCAAATTGAGGATTTTTTGAAAAAATTTAATTTGGGGTTTTCAATCTAGAGGGAAATTAAGACATTTAGGAAGGAAGAAAGGAAGGAATTAGGTGGCCATACGGCCTCCTCTACTTTCGGCGAGTCTCATCACCGTCACGACCTACGACCAAGTCCCATCCAACCCTCCCACTTGACAATCCTGGAAAAGAAAAAATCTCACACCATCATAGTGGAGAACCAAACATTCAAACATATATATAATTCACAAACAAAAGAAAGGGAAGGAAGTAAGTCCAAAATTAAGAGAGCCCGAAATTGAAACAAAAGAACACAAAAAAAAAAGGGAAAGTTAGTACCAAAAAAAGAAAAAATCTAAAAAAAAAAAAAGAGAGACATAAATTCTACCTTAATGAAAGTCTGTAAATCCACCACCTCACCAATTCTTTGGGGTAATTTCTTTTAGTTTCCCCTTTAATTTTATTTTTTTATTTTTAGAATATATATGTGTGTTTGAAATTTTAGGGTTCTTTTGTTTCGGGTTGAAATTAGAGATGGGAAACCTAAATTAACCTCAATTTAATTCAATTGGAGTTTTAATTTGGGGTTTAAACCCCCAAATTGAAGCTGATTGGGTTTCAATTAAAACTTAAGGTTCTTGATAATTTTTGAACAAATGGATTTGGGGGTTTTCAAAATTGAGTCCTAAAGGGTTTGAATTGACTTGATTTCACTTGAAATTAAGTCAATTAGGTCTAATCGAAAGAAAATTTTGAAGAAAAATCAAAACTTAGGTTTGGCCAAATTGGGGATTTTTTGAAAAAAATTGATTTGGGGTTTTCGATCTAAAGGGGAATTAAGACATTTAAGAAGGAAGAAAGAAAGGGAGAAAGGAAGGAAAGAAGAAAAAGGAAAGGAATTAGGTGGCCATGGACGAACTACCACTAGTTCGTCCATGGTAGTTTCAGCAGGAGAAGAAGAAGAAATGGGAAAAAAGAAAGATAAGAGAAGGAAGAGTGAAAGAAGAAGGAGATGGAAACAAGATGGAGGGACGAACCGGTTTTGGTTCATCCATGGAGGTTGGATTCGGCCGGGAGATGGAAGAAGAAGAAGAGAAAGAAAAAGAAAGGGATGGGAAAGAGAGAGAAAA